TTATTTATCCTAAGTCTTTGCCAACAGTCCGGACTGCCATCTATGACAACACACAGAACAGTCACACAGAGGTCAAAGTTGAGATGGTCAAATAATTTGAACATACTATTATAACACCAATGTGGTGAGGTCACAAAGGTCAAAGGTTGTAGCTCACCTGATTCATGGCCAGCTCACGCCAGTCACGCTCAAACCTCTGACGCTGGAGTTCTCTCTCCTTGGCTTGGATCTCTGTGTCCTTGGCCTTCACCTCTGACTTAATGACCTGGTTCTCTGACTTAATGACCTGGTTCTCTGACTTAATGACTTCAACCTCTGACTTAATGACCTGGACCTCGGACCTGATGTCCAGGTTTTCCTGTGTCTTGTCACAAAGCGTCTTGTTTTGGTCAGTGCCGGCCTTGAGCAGACCCAGCAGGAGGGGAGAGTCGGGGAACTGGCCACCTGAAGACACAAACACACACATTGGTAAACACTCTATCTACTACACCACACCGTTCACTGACAGCTTTTAACTTTAGAAAAATACCGGAGACATAAAAGTGAACTTTTGCAGCAAAGTCAGTTGTTGGACAACACCAGTACATACAAATTGTAAAGGTTTTTAATTACTGAAGAAAATTACACAACTTTTTGACTCCTTAGTGAAAGACTCCGCCATACGATGTTTAGAAGAGTGATACGTGAAGCTATTACACTGAGCAGTCGATTGTTGTTGGAAGAAGACTTAGAAACTTCAATAGTTATTAGTCACCGTGAAAAGCAGGGTCAGACAGAGTTCCTCTTTTTATTTTTTGTTACAACAATATCTGCTCAGTGTAGCAAACATTAGGTAAAATCCCTCCTCTATACATGCTCCATTAAATGAGAAAACAAAAATATTTTATTCATCACACAACTTATTTCACGAATTAAACTGCTAAAACACCAGCATAAAATAAAAGAAATTTGCAACAAAATCAACCCTTTTCCCAATCAGCCCTGTAAGCAACATAGGTCAGGAAAGACTGTCTCTTGTGAGGAAAGGAGATAAGTCAAGTAAAAGAATGAGGTGATGATGACATCAGAGATTTGCTCTGTATAGAGGAGTGACTCACAAGTTAGGTAAAAGAAGGTGATGATGGCATCAGAGATTTGCTCTGTGCTGTACCCACGTGCACGAGCTGAAGAGAACAAGTCCAGGTCCAGGTACGGTCTGGGTCCAGTTGGTTGTGGAGATGATGACGATGATGACGATGATGATGATGATGATGATGATGTTGCTGCTGCTGTTGACAGTGTGGT